GGCCCTTTATAACACCGGCTCTCTTTAATGACTGGTGGTCCTCAATATTAACATCGATGAGATTATTGAATCTCTCGTTCACTATTCATGATTTAAATGCCAATGTTATACAAGGAGGTATAAAACTTATCCTAGAATTAATTAATCTGCTTGAATATCGGAAATTTTTCAATCACCTTCGTCAAATAGGACTACTATTCCTGTCACAACTTACAACTTTAAATGGAAACTTTTTACTTCTGTTTTGTGATCTTTCTCAAAAGATTAGAACCTTTAAGTTCAGAAAACGGCCAAAATGGTTTGACATTATCGAATTAACCGTTCTTGTTGAACCTCAAATATGCACCATACATCCGACATTACAAATAGAGTACCAATGTTATGTTAAACAAGTTACTCCTTCAGTAGACTCAAAAGAAGTCACTTATATTACGCTATAGTCTCCTCACTTAAACAACTAAACAGTGGGAAAGATTCTCCTTATTGAGCAGGATACCGTACCTATTTAGCATTATACTATGATGATTGATGAACAGTTTCGTACTATTTTAGATCCCTGTTTTGGCTACCTTCTTAATCACCCATCTACAAGGTCACACAAAAAATGTTATGAAGACAGTCATTGTGTTACTTTAAAAATCCGCTGCATTTGTGTTCAGTGATCTCTATAAAAACTGAAAACCATATCAGGTGTCTTTGTCCTTTATCTCCTCTTATGTTACATGAACTTGCCTTAAATTTACTTAATCCTACCAACAACTTCCTTACTTTTCACAAAACATCGATATTTCTCAATCTAATTATATCTTTGACAATGATTCTATGACGTAACTTACTAACTTAGCTTTTAACCTTTCCAACGCAACTTCCTTATCCTTCTATACAGATGGCTCTCTCATTGACCTTGGTTTCTTATTTTTCCGGATGGGAGTAACCTGGTTGCAAACTGACCCACAATGGCCCTCGACTTCATTTCATTCTTCCTTTTATCTACATAACCTATCCTCTCTCTTAGCTGAATTATTAGCAATTATATCCACTACATTCGTTACTTCTTCGCATTCAACTGTCTGCATTTTCACTGATTCTTTCTCTGTTATTAACATTTTTCACAAACTTCATTTCTTTCTTACCACTTTCTTCTCATGCAACCCCATTTACAAATTCCATCATTATCCTCTTTGGTTATACTTTTTCGATCTACTACATGCTAAAAACATCACTTTACATATGAACAAAGTAAAAGCACACGCTGATGACCCCTTTAATAATATTGTAGATCAGCTAGCAAAATCTAATAAACCCACTTTATCCTTCAATTTTAATGCCTTCAACTCCACCATGATTCCACATTTTAATAACATGCCTGATCTCCTTATAACACGTCATTTTATCAAAAGCCTCCTACAAGCGAAATGCTTTAACGACATCTTACTTATACCACACTTCACAAAATATCGTTCACTAAAGGTTGATTGGAATGTTACCTTTCAAGTACTTTATGATAACTAAGCTAAATCTGCTACATTCTTTCAAGCCACTTTCTCCAAAAAACAGAAAATTAAATTCATGTTAGAAATGCTTCCGTCCTTAGAAATTTTGAAAAAAAGGAGCCTATTACTATACAAACAAAACTAGACATGTTGTAGATGTCAACTCGATTATGAAGATTTTAATCACATCTGGATTTGCCAACACTCAATAGAAACTGTTATCGATATTATAGCCTCCACAAAACACGAAATTTATCACTATCTATCGCTACTTAACAATAATTCAATTAACTCACAAAGTACAATTCATCAGATAATGACATCCTCCTTTTAGAATCCTGATCACAATCCAATTGACTTCTGTTTCATAGACCTCATTAAAGGCATAGTACCGTTGAACTTATCTAATTTAATACAGATCATTACAAATGACAGTTTCATTACCATGTTACTTATGTCACATATATACCATCACATTTTTACGTCAGTTTCAAAAATTTGGGCCGATAGATACGAAATTTTTGCTAAAGCAGAAAAAATAGCCAACATCACTTTACAACACAAAAAGAATAATTGGATCACAAATGGTTTTTCTCACTCCCACCTCCTTCAACACTTATTTCTTTATCATTTATTTCTTCCTTTAGGTATGGCAATGACTGGTCAAATTTTTGGACAGGTAGCAACCACGCTCTCCCATCATGATGGTTAAGTTTTCTTTTCTCTTGATTGGATTATTAGTCTAGAACGGTGTAAGGTTGACTTTGATTTATTTTAACTAGTTTAGAATACTTAGAAGTTTTTGTATTTTCTTTTTTTGTCTTATATTTTATTTATATTTTACTTGCTTTAAAGAAAGATCATGCGAAGCTACTGCACTTAAAAAAAAATATTTATTATTTTATATTGATAAAAATCACTACTATTAAATCCTGTGACTAAAGATGAGGGACGAAACTCAAAAAAGGCAATTAATAAATAGCCGAAATTATATTAAAATATAGTAAGGGTACAACGAAATCCTGAAATCCGAAATTAGCCGAAACTATATTAAAAACATAGTAAGGGATATGATGAAATTATTTTGAGGGAGTTTCAGCTGGCATCTTTACCTGTAACTAAAATTTCAATTGAAAGTCTCAATTAAAATAATCATAAGAAGAAAACAAAGGGTGAATTTTTAGTTATGTTATCTTTTATTTCTTGCTTCATAACTGGACGTAAAATATAAGAAATGTGCATATCCTGAAAAATATTAGTTCAGGCCATCGCTTGGGTAGTACTCGTAAAATGGAACTTGAGAAGATATTGCACAACAGTATCAAATCCATTTCTGAACTTACCAATGAATATAATAACATGCAAGGTGTCTATTCAAGCTATAGTAAAAGAAATAATCGAGACAAAGCCAAATTACACTGTAATCTAGAACAAGCTGAGACTAATAATAGGAAACTCTCTGATCGCATCCATCAGTTTATAGATGAAATGTCACAACTACAATCAGATATGGATTCTCTAAATTTTCAGATTACTCGCAAAGATATTAATTACTCTTGCAGAATCTAAGGACAAACTCATTACAAAATCGAAAAAAATAAAAGTCTTCCAATTGAAGGTGAAAACATTGGAGAAGAATTCTTCTTTAATTCAAATGAACTTATCTGAAATGGATTCTCTCAGGCTTGAATTGAAATAGGCAAAGGATGATTTATCCTCAAAAAAATATAAAATAAAATGTATAGAAAAAGAAATAGAGACTAAAAATATTATATATAAACAGGAGTTAGACTTCTTATCTTTAACACGATTAAATTTAATGGGAGAAAATAGATCACTCAAGGACCAGTTAGTATTAAAAAAGATAATAAAATAGTAGATCTCTCTAATCCCTCACTTTCACCTATGAACGATTTATCGCAGAAGCTACCAGGTTAGCTCAGTGATGATTTAAGACCACTTATCTATAAGCTCAGTCTTGAAGATAAGATTATAGAATTCAATAAAAATTTTGCTAGGCAAAATGTATTAGAGACTTTGCAAGAGCTATTACCTCCAGATGAGATAGTTTCAAGAAGCCAGGCAGATACCCTACCTAATCAATCTATTCATAGTCAACCAATACATTCTGAAAAGTATATTTCAAGTGAAGGGGTTGCAAAGCAATTAGGTAGTGCATAAGTGATCACATCAGCGCAAGTAATACCTCTAGCACTAGCTATCCCTGTTGTTGCAAGTTCCTTAATGTTACTGTTAATATCATACTTACTTTACTATTTCTTGCAATTATATGGATCGTTAGAAAAAAAATATGAAATTCATGAAAAAAAGTAATATCAAGTATTCTCCTAACTGGAACTATTTTTTATTATCTCCAGGGTATTTCTGAGGTTAGGTTATATGATCAGAAGCTAAAATATCAAATATAGAAATTGAAGTTAACCGATATTATTGCATAAGAAAAATATATAAATAATATTGTAAATTTCTTAGTTAAAATTGTTACATTTCCGCTAGAATACTTAACAATATAATTTGATAATTTCATTTATATTCACTTCAGACGAATTATCTTTTTTGTCATCCTGTAATTTTGATAATATTCGATAGTGTGTGATTTCTAGACTAACTACTTTATACTATATGTTTCGTAAATTGGCTAGTAATTTATACTTATCTGAATAATATAATAAATATTGTTCTATGGTCATAGCTTTTGATTTGTGCTTACTAGTCTTAGTAACTAGTTTATACATTTCTTCTTTGTATTATACATCGATCTTAGAAATTTCTTTGAGCAATGATAAAACCTTTACATGGATGTATTCTTCTAACTCATCTAGTATATTGAAAAAGGAAGTGTAACAACCAACATTACCTAAGCATTTTACTATTCTTTCAGCATAAATAATATCAAATAAAGATTTCGCATAAATGCAGGCTCCTTTCCATAGATGAGATGAGATATGATAGCTTCATCTTTTTTCGAGCCTTTATGAAGGTTTTTGATATAACCTCTAATCTACTTTTCAGCTGATTTTTGCGCTAAGGTATCTCTTATTTTCTATACCTCATCTTTATTCACTTCGTTTTCATCCATATCATCTTTATCTGCTTCATCCGCTTCATTATCATCCGCTTTATTATTATCTTTTAACTTTTTTAAGGCTTTCAGCACAATTTCAGATAATAGCTAGTAACTATTATTATAGTTTATAAATCGCGTATAGAGGCCAACAACAGTTTTCAGATAATAGTTAGCATCAATCTTCTTACCAAAATGTCTTATCACTTTTGAGTACTCCATTTTGTCACCCACCCTCTCTGATGAATTATTCTCAACTACAATATATTTAAACTGCTTGGCTGATTCTGGGATTTCATAAAGATAAGGCTCAGGTATTAGGCCCTTTTTATGAGCTGTTTGATATCTGTCTCTTTACAGATGTGTCTATTTCGCATTCGTGAAATGAAACGCTATACACCTTTGTTATTTTTATCAGGCTTCTACACAGCAGTTTTAATCATTTTATTAAGATCTTTCTGTGAGATATCATTTATAGTTTCTTTGAGTACGTCTTTCATAATCTGATGCAAGATGCATATATTGTTACTCTTATAGACTCTTCTATAATACATTTCTCTATTTTTCAGAAAATACTAGACTGCCTCTGCTTTACAACCTCAACTTCCTGAATGAAAAGCTCTTTATTAAAGTTCAACTTGCTTTTATGTGAAATGCCGTAGTATTTTTTCTTTTCAGTAAATACTACTGAAAATAAAACTTCCTCATATACCATTTTGAGATAAGGAGATCTATTATCTTTTCTAAGAAAGCCATTAATTTCATTGCAGAGTTTCTCTATTTTTCCATAGAGATTTCTATTATTCAAGACTAATATTCTTCTTTTGGGATCCCATTACTACAGTCATATAGCTTATCACATTCTTAGAAACACTCTTTTGGATAGACAAGATATAAGGAATCAGTGTCTCCATATTTTATTTGGAAACCCCTGCTTTTAATGAAATCTGCAACAAGTTTGATGTTTTTCTGTCTAGCCAATGTGACGCCTCCAGTAAATTCACATAAGAAGAAAATGATCTACTATCTCTAGCGATACCATAAAAATGTATTCATATACACCTTAAGAGCATATTGTTTCATGTTTAAGCAAGAGCAATCGAAACAAATAGAATCATATTCTGCCATAAATTTATCTCTTGTATACTATTATATAAATAATGGTAAAAGGCTTTATATTATTTTTGAATATATACCTAGAAAAGTGAAACCTTCTCTGTAATTATATTATATAAAAATGTGAGAAGGTTTCATATTATTCCTGGCATTCAGTTATAATCTAAAAGTGTAGGTAAGTGTGTAATATATTATATAAAATAGTAGAAGCCTATACTTTTCTAGATATGTATACAGGTATATTATGAAGGCTTCTGTAGAAATATAATATATAAAAATAATAGAAGAATTTAGATATAGTATAGCCTTTACATAATATAGAGATATATCAAAAAAGGATGCAAAAGAGATATATAGTAGATTGGTAAAAAAATTATGAATAAACATATTCTTAATAGATATAATCCAGAATATTCTTTTTTAGAATTTTTATATAAAATAATAGAAGAAGAATACCCTATCATTAGTATGTAATCAGGTATATGTATCTGAAAGTATAGCTTTCTGCATAATATATTATATAAAAATAGCAGAAGGCTACCCTGTTACTAGTATGTATCCAGTATAATATGGGAGTGTTTCCAATAAAATCACATTACGGATCATATAATTTACTATGCCTCATAACTTGATTTTACTGAAAACGTTTCCATATGACATCTAGGATAGGTAAGTATATAATCTATTATATAAATATTGATACTTACCTATCCTATTACTAAAGTGTATTTAGATATGATATAGAGGTAACTTTATAATTATTATATAAAAAATGGAAGAAGCCTCTATACAAACTTAGTAGGCAAAATATAAAAGAAAGCCATCTGAATATATATCTGGATATGAGTATTTAGATTATTCTTGGTGGTATGTATCTGGGTATAAGTATTTGGATAAGTCTTTTGCAAAAATATTATATAAAATAATGGCAAAAGACTTATCCTTGATGGTATAAATTTAGGTATGATATGATATCTAGGAGATCCTTCTGCAAAGGAAGAGAAAATTGTCAGACTTTATGATAGGATATTTCCATAAACAAATATTCAATCCATCTGAAATTTGATATAGAAATAGAGCAAAAGAAGGATGTTTTAACAAATTTAAATTTGCATAAATCCAATTTGTGGATATTGAGACATTATCCTCTAAAATTCAGGCAAAAAAATACTCTATATTATATTTTAGCCAATTAGATCGCTAAATATAATTGCATGATCACGTGATACTGCGCAGATTTCTGTTGAATGCTATCTGACACTGAGCATTTTTTTATTATAATTTGATATTTAAACAGGCAATCAAGCAGGCGCAAAAGGTAAGCATATCAATATAGAATTGAGAACTTATTCAGTTACAGAAAGTCAGTATCCTCAATATAAAATCAGATATCTAAATGGTTACAGATCATCACCAACAAGCGAATATCTATTTAATAATTAGGCAACCATAAATATTCGCAATCGCAAAATATAATAGAAAGCATTTATCGACATAGAACATAATAAAAATATGCATATTCAGGTTATTTAAATATAGACGTATTTAGGTTATTTTATCACATGATCATAGTTTATATATAGGAAAAAGGTAACGAAAAATAATTTAAAGATAAGAAATATACTAAATAAAATAAGAAGGTATAAAAAATTATTCATAGTTAAGTTATTTAATTAGATTATTTAATCATATTTAGGTTATTAACATTTAGATTATTTAGTTATATTTAGATTATTTAGTAATATTTAGATTATTTAGTTATATTTAGATTATTTAGTAATATTTAGATTATTTAATTACTAAATAACCTAGTTCAAGCTGATTATGACTAAATAATATAATTATTATTTAGTCATAATCGGCTAAAGATCATGTAATTTATTTAGCAAATGATCTAATGACAAATTAAAATTTATAAATTTATTTAATGTTTTATAATAAAATTTTTTACAATATGATATTATATTTTTTAAATGACTACATTATAGATCATTTGAAATTTAAAATGACCAATAACCTATAACTAGTCATTTGGAACATTTAGGCTATTTAAGATCACCTGTTAATATTATTTAAAGGGATATGAAACCAAAATTTTTTTAGCAATAAAAAATCTGTCTTCAGAATAAATAATAAAAATGAAAATAAGAAGGTTTAATATAGGATAACAATTATCTATATTATGTGGGTAAAAAATTCTGTGATGATACTAAGATAAGTCAAAAATAATGATAAATAAATTTTAATGTTTTATACAATTCTACATTGTTTTATTTACAATATTTTGTAAAATATAAAATATAAAAAATCAAATTATTTTATAAATATTAAAAACCTATAATACATATAGGCATTTTGCAATAGAAAGATACGAAACTCAAAAAAAAATAAAAAGTTAAGATTTCAAAAAATTTTTTTTTTGAGTTTTGTACCTTTCTACTGCAAAGTTCCCATATAAGATTGTATGGTTTAAATTTTTGGTTTAAATTTTAAATTTTAAATTTTAATCAATTTACAGTTTTCAGATTGCTAGATCATTAAATATCCCTAGATTATTTATTCTTATAAGTGCGCTTCTCATTGAAGTGCCGCATAACTACGAAAATAAGCATTCCCCGAAAATAACTCCCACATTTATATATATACTAAAAATAAGTACCTATTGATAGTATCTAAGTTATAAAATTTATATCACTCATTGAGACGAATCCAATAAGCTAAAGATCATCATTCTGTGTGATCACTAAAGTTTTTTTTACTAAAAATAATACTCGAAATTAAGCAAAAGGGGTGCTTATTTTCGGATTAATATGTACTTCTTTATTTTGTTGGATATAAATATCGCCGGAATTTCCCGTAGATTGTACTGAGCTGCAATACATGAAACCTTTTTCATAAAATATCAACAAACAAAAGTGGATCGTAACATCTAGTTCAAAGTTTCGTTTATAACCTCATAACAGAGAAACGAAACCGATTAGAAAGGGAATTATTGTTTAGCTGGATTGTGACAATTTGACGCGAGTGTAGATCTTATCCATATAAGATAACCTGTCACACATTTTGGATATGAAATGTATAAAAGCATCGAGGGAAATTTTGCAAAAAGGTCAACCATATTCTGATAAAAAAAGCCAGTCGAATCGGATAATAATATCATTCGCACTTAACACTTGGAGGTTGTCAAAGACGTGTGTACCTTTAAATACAAACATGCTAATTTCTATAAATAGAAAAAATTTCTGGTTATTTTGCAATGCATGAAATAGACCAACCAGTTACGCTAAACATTTATGCACATTATCTTGGATTTAAGTTTGGCTCGGAGTCGATTTGGCAAAAAATATTTTTAGATTTTTAAGAACGATCAAATCGAAATCCAAGTCTGCCATCCCGTCTGCACTCTGCGCTCTGCGTCTCCTCATTCATTAATTTTAACGCCGAGTAATATCGAAATTCATGCAACCAATAACTTTTTAACGAAAGAGATGGATCTGATTTTGGTAGAATAGGCAAGTTACACATTACAATAAATAATCAGTGTGACAAAATTAATAGATGTTCTGATAACTTTTTTGACTGACAAAGTTTTTCTCTTTTTTTTTTTTTGTGCGCCAATCGTGGGCAAAAAAGCGAGACAATCCAAAAAAAAGGGGGTTTATATGCAAAATATATAAATTGTCCTCCTATCCACTCTCGGCTTGTTCTTTTCTCTTCATTCCCTACATTTTATCTCTTGTCTTCATATAACTATATCCATCTTTTATTTAATATAAAATTAGATCAAAATGTGTGGTATTTTTGCTTATCTTAACTACCTTGTCGCCAAAGATCGAAGAACAATCACAAATACCCTTATTTGCGGTTTGGCTCGTCTTGAATACCGTGGATATGATTCCGCGGGTTTAGCAATCGATGGAGATTCTGACGATGTACTCATCTTCAAACAAGTTGGCAAAGTTGCTGCTGTTAGGAAACTCGTTTCTGAGGCAACTGTTGACTTTGAAAAGGAATTTGTTAGCCACTGTGGTATGGCTCACACTCGTTGGGCTACTCACGGTGAACCTTCTCCAACAAACTCACATCCTCATCGTTCCGACCCAAGTGGTGAATTTACCGTAGTACATAACGGTATCATCACTAATTATAAAGAATTGAAAACTGTCCTCGAGAAAAAAGGTTATATGTTTGAATCGGAAACTGATACTGAAGCCGTTGCCAAACTTGCAAAATATTTGTATGATTCTCAAAAATCTAATGAAAAACTGAGTTTCACCGCGCTTGTTAAAGGTGTTATTAAGGAATTGGTAATTATCTTTTACATTTGATCCTTATTTTTAATGAATCTTATAAACCTTACAATTATTAATTTATTATTAATTTATAAAAAACGCGTGATTTTACAGGAAGGTGCTTTTGCGTTGATTTTTAAGAGTGTACATTTCCCTAATGAAGTTGTTGCTACGCGTCGTGGATCTCCTTTATTAGTTGGTGTCAAAACCGAGAAAAAATTAAAAGTAGACTTTGTTGATGTAGAATTTGGTACAGGTAAGAATTATATTTTTTTGAGATTCCAATTAATACGAATATTTTTTTCTTATGAATCAATCTCATGAAAATTGTTTCTCTTTAAACTTTTAATACAGACTCTGCCTTTGCGCCAACGGAGGAAAAAGTAGATGGAAATTTATTATCCCCTACAGAACATCCAAAACTTAGACGCAGTCAATCACGCGCCTTCTTAAGCGAAGATGGTTTACCTCAACCAATTGAATACTTCCTTGCATCCGATCCCTCTGCTATCGTTGAACATACTAAACGCGTACTATATCTTGAGGATGATGATATTGCTCACATTAGTGAAGGAGGTAATGATCTTTATTAACCAGATTAAAAATAAAAAAAATAATTAATTTTATTAATTCAAATTATAAAACTTTTATTATATTAGAACTTCATATCCATCGTTTAAGACGTGACGACGGAATATCAGCTACTCGTTCTATTCAAACTTTGGAGATCGAATTGGCTGAAATTATGAAAGGTTCTTTCGATCACTTTATGCAAAAGGAAATTTTTGAACAACCTGAATCAGTAGTAAACACTATGCGTGGTCGTGTTAACTTTGAAAGTCATAAAGTAACCCTAGGTGGTCTTAAAGCATATTTAGCAACTATTCGACGTTGCAGACGTATAGTATTTTGTGCATGTGGTACAAGTTATCATTCTTGCGTTGCTGTAAGTTTATTTAAAGAAATAAAAATTTCCTGTAACATTTAATTACCAACATATTAATAATCTATCTTAAATAAATAATTTGTAGACTCGTGCCATTTTCGAAGAATTGACAGAAATTCCTGTCTCTGTAGAATTAGCAAGTGATTTTTTGGATAGAAAGACTCCTATATTCAGAGATGATGTTTGTGTTTTCGTATCACAATCTGGTGAGACGGCAGACACAATCCTTGCTTTAAGGTATTGTCTTGAACGTGGAGCTCTTTGTCTTGGTATTACCAACACTGTCGGTTCAACGATCTCTCGAGAGACACATTGTGGTGTTCACATCAATGCTGGTCCAGAAATTGGGGTCGCTTCCACCAAGGTACAACAAATGTTTTTCTTTGGTTTAAGTAATAAATGTTTTATCATGCATTAATACGTACATATCCATAATTTTTTATCCTAATATTATTAGGCATATACCTCACAATTTATTGCTTTGGTCATGATGGCTATTCAATTGAGCGAAGATCGTTCATCCATGACTCAACGACGAAATAGCATCATTGATGAGCTTAAAAAATTGCCTGAATATATTCAAAATGTTTTAAGTATTGACAAAGAATTACAACAACTTGCCAAGGATGTACTTTATAAAGAAAAGAGTCTTTTAATCATGGGTCGTGGCTTCCAAAATGCTACATGTTTGGAAGGCGCGTTAAAGATCAAAGAAGTTTCATATATGCATTCAGAGGGTATCTTAGCTGGTGAACTCAAACATGGTCCTTTGGCTCTTATTGACGAAAACATGCCTGTTATCCTAATCATGACTAAAGATTCACTGTATCCAGTATGTTGATTTTTCTTTTATTTTATTTTATTATTTACAATCATAAAATAAATCTCACGATATGATGTTTCATTTTTCCACGATAATAGAAAGTACAAAGTGCTCTTCAACAAGTTACAGCTCGTAAGGGTCAACCGATTATTATTTGTAATGATGGAGATGAGGGTATATCGAGTCAATACAAGAAAATCCGTGTTCCACAAACGGTTGATTGTCTGCAAGGACTTATAACAATCATTCCTTTGCAAATATTATCATATCATTTGGCAGTTTTACATGGAGTTGACGTTGATTTCCCACGAAATTTGGCTAAATCGGTAAGTTCTAATTATATAATGTTCTTTAAAGACATAATATTTTTTTATAGCAATTAATCAAATTAATCAATCAATTTATTTTCTTCAAACTTTCAGGTAACCGTCGAGTAAAAAAAAAAATATTAATAATAATTAATTAAATAAAAAAAAAAAAGAGAGAAAAGCCATTCAATGGTCCTTATCGACTAAAAGTAATTATTCAACCTATCTATTCCAATATTTATAAATTATTTTTGATATTTAATCCAAATTTTACGTATGTATTTATAAAATTACTAGTTTAGTTCAAGGAAGCATTCGGTTTGAATTTAGAATTTGATATTTTTTTTTTTTCATAGTATGATTTAAATTTATTTTATTTTTCATAATAAAAAGAAACAATCTGAAAATACCATTACTGTACTACATTATTCATTGATTTTATATCAAAATGTAACAATGGTCACCTTCACTAACTTATTGGGTAAGTCAATTCATTTGTCACCGGATAAACTTATTTAAATCGGAGGATATCGGAATCGATTCTAAAGAGATCGAAAAACTGCAGCGAAAGTTTGTAATGTTATACACCTAACAAAAAGTATATGACATATGATAAATATAAAATTTCTTCAAAAAATAATGATAAATCGTTTTAAAATATGAAATTGCCATACAATTGCATATAAAAAACTGTATTTCATCACATCAAATTTCCTTGATGTTCTAATGCCTCGAATTTTTGTCTTGCATCACTAAAAACAAACATACAATGATGGTTTATCATTGATCATTTGAAAATTGATGGTTTGTATCTAACCACAGGGGTTTGAAGACCCGGAGCAGCCTTACTTTGGTCCATGACGTACACCTTACTTACGTATACTGTCCATAAAAGGATATAAGCATATAATTATATTATAACTGCAAGAACAAAAATTCTCGCTCGCTATTATTATTTACTTACAAAGAAGCATTTGTTAAAATGAATGACGAAGCAACATTAATAAGAAAATTCTGTAGCGTTACAAACGCGACTCATGAAGTTGCAATATCCTATTTGATGGTAAATAACACTTCAGAAATTTGAAATAATTTTATATATTTTTACTTTCCATTTTTCTTTATAACTCGCGAAACTCAATAGGTATCCGACGGTAACGTTGAGCAAGCTATTACTCTTTACTTGGAGAATGGCGGTGCAGATCTTTCTGATGCTTTGGGTGCCGGTATTACCGATACGAGTCCTCAACTGTCACCATCAAGAGCAACCTCCACATACACTGGAAAAGCAAATAGCACATTTGAAAGCGATGCTGAATTAGCGAGGGCACTTGCTCAAGAAGATTCTGCAATTCGAGCTCCCATAGCGCCAAAACGCGACATACTTGTTGGTGATCAAGACAACGGTCCTGACGGTGGAATGAGTAGATATCCTTTTTTTTCCTTTCTTTTTTTTGCTTTGAATTCATTTAGAATTATTAAAAGTTTCCCTTTTTTATAAATTTTGACTTTGCGACTGTTTCACGTTATAGTTAGGAGAGGTGTACCACGCACTCGTCGCTCACGTGATAACACTTATCGAAATTTTGCAGGCGACGTTATTCCTCATCGAATAGGTAAATAAAAATATTTCTTTTTATCATTGAAATTTCAGGAAATGATAAGAATGATAAGTTATCAAAAATGAATTTTTAGTATCTGCTGATGAAAAGGCAACTAGATTGGCTGATTTATTCAGTCCTCCTTTCGATATCATACATAAAGAAAATTTTGAAAGGGTAATTTACAATTCTTTTTTTTTTTTTTAAAGTTTATGAATTACACGAAATTTAAAAATTTTATTTTCAATTTAGACACGGACCAGAGCGAGAAATGATGGCAAATGGTTAATGGTTGACATCCAAAATATAAAAGAATTTTCTAGTCAAGTTCTCAATCGTGATTTGTGGACGGACAAAACAGTTAAAGACGTGATTAAAGCACATTTTCTTTTCCTTCAAGTAAGTTAAATAGAAATATTTTTTTAAAAAAAAAAAATAATAATTCAACAACTCAATTAATTAATCTATCTATATTTATATTTACTTAAAATATAATTTAATTTGTTGTTTATTAGTATAATTCAGACAGTCCTGACGGACAGCAATACATAAATTTCTATCCTATTGATAATTATCCTCATATTGCGATTATTGATCCAAGAACCGGTTAGACTGATAAATTTTCACTGGTTTCATTTATATATTTTACTTATATTTATTTATTTTATTTTTATTTCAAACAGGTGAAAGAGTAAAAGTATGGAATGCCCAAACGGCACCCACCGAGTTTTTAATCGGTGGTAAGTAAAACCTCCTGTTCATAAAAGGTGACGCGTTAAAAATGATTGATTGAAAATTTCGTGGTTTATTTTTATCCAAAGTTACGGATTTCTTGGAGCGTTATTCATTGACTGACCACGATTTAACGAAGCCGACTCCCATTTCGAAAAAGGTAATTATGTTTTAATATCAGTTATATTAAAAGATCATAATTTAACTTGGCTTCATTCGACTATAGACATTAACGGAAATGAGTGAAGAAGAACAGTTAAGGGTAGCTATGGAAGAATCACTTAGTTATAACAACAAAAATGTTGAAGAATCAACATCGAAACAAGTAGATTCTGCATCTGAATCTGAAGATGGTATGGAAATCGAAGATGTGACTGAAGATGACTCAATTACTGGTACGTATTAATTTTACAATTTGTATCGGATTTTTTTTAAACAATTAATTTATTTTAATTCCTTTATAGAAGAACCTATTTCAACTTTTGATACCATTCAACCTGTTGAAAGGGAGGAAGCCCAAGGTCCTACATCAGTAATGATAAAATTCCGTTTAGCAGGTGAATTAACGTGGAACTTTTATAAATTTATATATATATTTTTTTTTTGGCCTATACATTAAATGCAAAGAATTTAATCAAAGACGGACAAACGATTATTCGACGGTTTGGAAAATTGGACCCTGTCCGATATTTATTCGAGTTCATTAAAGCGAAAGTTCCTAATCAGCAATTTGAGGTATTATATTGTACATTTATATGCGCACTTTTTTAAAAAAGATTACCCAACCTAATTAATATAAATATATATATATCTTTTCTATGTTGTTTTTCTCAATCATCAGCTTGTTTGCCACAGGAATAATTTGATAAACCATGTTGATGAAACTGTAGAAGCAGCAGGTTTATCAAATTCACTTGTTAATGTTAATAATTCTTAAACACATTAATCAAAATAATGACATTAGCCAGTGTAAAGATTGTTTACTCTTATCAACTATATAAATACATATGTTATCAATTCCATTATAATAGTTATACGTATATGTGTATATATTGTAGGTCAATGTTATCTTTTGGATTCATTATTAAAATTTTAAAGAGTTAGGTCATCTTTAACATTTAACTGTATAACCTTATTATTTTATTTTATTTTTTTTTTTATGGATCTATGAATAAAAATTTTTCGATTTTGTTTCCTAGCTATTTTACTTATAATTTCAAAAAAAAAAAAAAATAATAATACGTTAATAATTTAAAAACCTCTTCTCAATTTCAATTAGTTTTTTTTTTAAAAAAAGTCCTAAAAAGTAAAATTAAAGTGTTTTTAACCTTTAAAACAAACAAAAAATCTAATTCTTTTCTTTTTTTTTAATTTTCCAGAAAAAATTGGACAATGGTTGATTATAGTCATTTTTATTATTCTATTGCTATTGTTGTTTTTCAGCATGTTTAAGAAGTTTTTCTAAATCAAAGTTGGGGTCATTTGGATCTGTTATGACTAATGAAAAAAGAAAAAAATATTTAGGTTAGAATTTCTCTGAATTTGATTTCTTCTCAACATATTCTAATTGGAGAAGCGTTTAACATCGATATTTGTCAACGTTTAAATGACAGAAATGACTGTATCCAAAGATCCATACATCGTAATATTTAATTCGAAGTTTACTTTTTCATTAGAACATCTCCTATATAATACTTATTTTCTATCTATTCTCAAACGAGAAAATTTGAAAAGTAAAAAAATATATATATACCATCGAGATTTTTAGAAGCAATTGAAGCGACATACGCAGCTTTAGCTTCGTTAATTAGTGCCTCTTTATGTTTATAATCAGATATCTCTTTTTTCTTTGCCTCAGAGTTAACCAATGATTTTTTATGTACAAAACCATAAGTAATCCCAAGGGCTAGTGCAGTCCATCGAGCAACCTATTATATTTTACCCCAAAATGTGGGAATTTATTGCTCGTTATCCGCATTTAAAAAATTTTACAGACTTCAATACTTCTACTTTTCCTTTTATAAATAAATTGGTTAACGCTTACTTGAACATTAGTTGAAACCATTTTTTTAAAAGAAGGGAAAATTTTTTTCGGTTTTGAACTTTTTATACATATTGTTGAAGTTCACGTGATTTTTAATCAAGTGTAAAATAAGGAACATTTTTTAGTGAGTCACTCGGGTGAAAAGTTCTTTTTTAGAATGCAACGATATGGGGGTATTTATAAGAAATAAATTCATTGATCCGAAAATTTTTTGTTGAATATTTTAATCGAACAAAATACACATGAAAGAATTTAAAACAAGAAAAAAGGTATTTAACGATATTTCATTCGTTTTTTCATAAGGGGAATTTTAGTGATGCAATTCGTCAGGCCCGATTTTCAAATTTAAATATTCCTGGTGATCATTCATTTGACATAATATTTAATAATACACAAATCCGTTTGTGCAGACAATTATTTCTTTATGCGCAAGTTGTATATATAGACAACAAAAATTTTATTTTCTTATATATTTCGAAACAAAAGCTCCTAAAATTTAATTTATCTATCCTGAATCATTTTTTTTAACGTGATATTATTTCTAAAAGGGGAAAGTTAGAGATAAATAGGAAATATTCCTTCTTTTTAATAAAAAAAAAAAGTTCTCTTAATAACCCCCCAACTTACACTCTTTATCCCTACAACTTTCTTTTCATTCAATTGACTATAAACTCTTTTTTTTCAAAATAAAATATAAAACAATGATAAGATTTGGAGATTTTAATAAAATCTGTGAGACGGTGGCACTCACTGTGTGCCCTCTTGTAGGTTCGGAAGAAGGCATTGAACCAACATGTTATTCAAGAAACGTTGAAATTGCTGGCACACTAATTTTCCAACCTGGTAAAATTATTCCTTTACAGCTTGTACTCTATAATTCTTTATTTTTATATGCTAACTTTATCTATTTTTAAAGCCACCATTATTATCCATGTTATTGCGCTCATCATGACTTCCATCATGATTTATCATATAAAGTCAAAATATACAGCCGTCGGTTTGTATTTATTTATTTTGCGACAACTTTTATCTTGCAATTGATTCTAATTTTCTTCGATATTACATTGCATATAGTATTAATATTTTATATTCTATAATTCTATAATAGGTCGTAAGGAGATTGTCATGTTCTTTTATTTATATATGATGGTTACCTTCTTAGAGTTATTGCTTGTTTCCGGTATCATTCCAACAGCGTCAAAAGTTTATCCCGTAAGTTTTCTTTTTATTATTATTATTATTAAAAAAAAAAGATGGTGAAAGGATTTTAATTAATTTATTTATTTGAATTTTAGTATTTCACTGCTGCACATATTTCACTTATCACCGCTACATTCTGGTGTTTATTATTAAATGGTTTTGTTGGATTTCAATTTGCTGAAGATGGCACACCATTGTCACTTTGGGTATGTTGGCTTCAGAAGAATTTTTGAAATTATTTTTTTTTAAAAAAAAAAATATGATTAATTATATTTTTTATTTTTATAGTCGATCCGTATCTCCTCTTTGGTTATTTTTGCTGGAGTTTTTTTCTTAAGTTATGCAACATTCGAATCAAAAGCCGGATTTAGCCCCTTAAACCCAGTAGCACTTTGGATTGTTTTGTATGTATTTAATGGAGCAGCTCTCGTAATTTATGTAGTCCTTCAAATCGTACTTGTACTTAATACCCTCGACGATCGCTGGCCTCTTGGTGATATCGTGTTCGGTATTTCCTTCTATGTCATTGGTCAAGTCATCCTTTACTTATTCTCTGTACGTATCTGTGATACAGCCAAACATTACATCGATGGATTATTCTTTGGAACAATCTGCACACTTTTAGCTGTTATGATGGTTTACAAATATTGGGATTCCATTACCAAAGAAGATCTCGAATTTTCCGTTGGTAGCAAACAAAATGTTTGGGAAGTTAAAGAATTACTCGGAGAGGATGAATTGGCATATTCAAATCAAGGTGGTTATGGTGGTGGCTACTCTCCAAAACAACCACCACAACAATATGGTGGATATAACGATAATTATTAATTATTAATTATTATGTAACATTAGAACCAATGAGATTATTATAATCATTATTAAAAATATTATACGTATTATTATACGTAAAATAATTAAACCTATAAAAATTCAATATTTTTGGAAATAGATTTTAGTACACCCATGCCGTTGTTGTAATTTTATATATTCTTTGTTTTTATCAAATTTGCTTCCCCTCTTTTTATATAATTCATATAAGTAAATACGTAAAGAAAAAATTTAATTCAAATTGACAATTTACTAGGGGAAGCAAATCTTTCTTAATTTATATTTTATTCTTATAATATTTCCTCCTTTTTTTTTTATTATTTGAAAGAAAAGAAAAAAAAAATTTATACTTTAAATTAAAAATATTTGGTTTTTAACCGTAGATTTTTTTTTTATTTGGATGATAAAACTTATGTGAAATCATATGATCCATAACGTGATTTTTCATAGAGCAGTTGTTTTGGGTATATTTTGTAAAATACCCGGGTAATATACCGAGAGGTTTTTTTTTTGACTAAATTATAATTTATAAGTAACCTATAATATTTTTATTGATTAAACAGCGTATATATAAATATAATGCGAGAGTAAAGTAATTAGAATCACATTTTTAAAAATACATGAAACTTTAAATTATATTCTTTATATATGACGAAAAAAAATATTCTAAAGAACATAGTTTTCTAAACTTGGCACTACGAACTAAATTAATTACAATTTCAGGTTCGATTTCTTCATAAAAATATTGAATATTTTAATTTATCAAATTATTGACCTTTATTCCAAAAAATTCAATGGGATTGATGTTTGGGGACAATCCAACGAACAGTCTTGGACATTTTTCAAAAGAGATTTTCTTTGGTTGTGTGTGTAGGATCGTGCATAATTTCATTCAAAATTTCTCGATAATATTTGGAAGTAATCTAATTATGTTTGTGATCTTAACCTATCTAATTAAGATATTCTTTTTAGATTGCGTGATAGAGGTTTGTAAAAATATCTTTCAAAAAGAGAAACATTTGAAAATTTATTACAGATATATAAATCTTTTCTTACTGACACTATGAATACCTAAACTATTTCGACCAAACTCATTCAAATAAAGTAGCTTCGCCTGTATACATGTAACCCAAACTATTTTGCAAAAATCAAAATTACATATTTCTCTACTTTTGACATTTTAACATTTTTTTTTCTTGGTTGATGAACAACTCATGTTTACAGTCAAAGCTGAGACCCAGATTCCTATCTAAGATCTTCCCATAGCGACTAAGGCCAACCATTCACTAATATCATCCCAAATGGCGCTATTGGGATTAACCCGCTTAAGAATACAATAGACCTACATACTGCACTGTTTAAGATACTCCCTTTAAAGCAGTGATGGCAAGTGACCTGAAATGACCCAAATGACCCAAATGACTTTGATGACTGGTCACTAGTCATTAAGTCACTTTAAAAGCTAAATGACCTATGACCTAGGTCATTTTATAATATTTTGTGGATGTTAAAACAAAATACTTCAAAAACTAAATAAAATATTATTTTTTATAAGTATGTAAATAAAACTAACTAATGAAAATTTGAATTTACTTACAAAATTAAAATTTAAGAAAAATCCTTGTGCAAAATTCAGATATCCGGATCATTTTTAATATTACGGATTTGTGAAATTTATCCGTGGATGATTCGCTGTCATTTAGAATTCAAGTCATTTGCAAATGACTCATGACTCAATGACCAAGGTCATTGAAAATTAGTCAAATGACCTGGTCATTTGCCATCACTGCTTTAAAGCGAATACTTTGAAGTTAAAAGACTAGGGTATAATAAATATACAACTTAAATTTCTTAATTGTGATGGGAAAAGGTAATTTTGGCTATATATTGCGCAAAATACTCAGATATATAATTTTTAAACTAGGTATTTTATATCATACCCAAGCAGTGCGATATGATAGGGAAGCTTTCTGCGGATCTGGTCCTGAGGTCATAATCTCGAATGACCATAATCCCGAAGGGTCAAAATTTCCCGAATGATCATTATTCCTATGTTATTATTATTGCACCTATTAAATATGCAGATAACATTTTTAAGAGTTATTCGAGTTTATTAAATTTTGCTTTTAAACTTTTGCAAAAAATTTTTATCTTGACCACTTTTAAAATACCTTTTACCAACAATTTTTTTAATCAATAAAAATGTATGAATGCATTATCCTATCGAAAGAAAGTTTAAAATTTCGTTATGATACCAAACGAATATTATAATAAACATAATATTAATATGATATTCGGGATTATGGTAATGATTATTCAGGATTTTGACCCTTTGGAATTATGGTCATGACCTCGGGATTTTGACCCTTCAGAATTTTGATTTACATACTTAATTACCCCAAATTTGTAGAGAAATCATTTCAGGACCATTACTTCTATACTTTACCAAAGGTAAATGATCTATAATTCCTTATATTTACATAATATAATTAAACTAGTAATAAGGAATAACACTATCTAACAAGTGATTTTATATTCATTTCATCAAATAATTCACATCAGATATTTAAATGCAGTAAAATATTTTATAAATTTATAACTTTTATAACTTTTCAGAATATTATATTGAAAATCATGTATTATAAGCAGGATTGGAAAGTACAGTGCTAGTACCGTTTAGCACTGCTTACAATACCCAGGGTCTTATTCAAAACCATCATTTTTTAAATTGAAAAGTATCCATAGGTATTGTGTGAGGAACTGGGTATTATTTTGGGAGATATATTATATGAGAGGGTATTATATGTAGGGATCTTTTATATAGAGAATATATTAAATTAGTAAATCTGTGAAATACATTGATATCAATAAAAGTTTAATTAATTGTTTTAACATATTTTATTAAAAAAAATTAAGAGTTTAAAAATAAATTTTTTTTTTTGATTTCTGCTTTTTTGATCTTATTATCTATAAAGTATTGTTATTATCTAAAAGGTTTAAAATGCCAAAAGGAAATTTTGGTGTAAAATGAGCAAGAAATACACAAAAAAAACAATATCAGTGAAATGCTTGTGAAAAGCTAATGATTGTATTATATTAAGAAAATGGGCATAGTATTCGGACAACAGCAAATAAATATGATATTGAACTAAAATAAGTCCAAGATTGGAAAAGCAAAAAAAATGAATTGATGTATGTAGCTCCATATATTCAACGACTTAATATTGATGTATAACCTAAATACCCATAACTTAAAGATGAACTTTTAGAATGCTTTTGTGAGTTACAAGAACAACTAAAAATATTAACTAGATATATGATTGGTATAAAAGTTCGCAATTTAGCTAAAAATAAGAATACCTTATTTTATATCCTGATATTCATAAATGTAAATTTTCACAAAAATGGGTTGATAGATTTATGTCTCGCCATTTGTTGGTAAATCGTCGACATACTATAACAGCATAAAGATTACTTGAAGAATATATTAAAGAACAACAAAATTTTTTATCATATATTCTTTATTTACGAACTGAACATAATTATCCTTTAAATTTGATTGGTAACATGAATGAAACTCCTATGTCATTTAATATGCCAAATTAAACAACTGTTGATGAATGTGAAAAATGAACTATTTCAATTTTTACAACAGGTCATGAACGTATCAATTTTACAGAAACTCTTACTTGTCTTGCAAATGGCACTAAACTTCCTCCATTTATTATTTTTAAGCTAGTTAATATATCACGAGAATAGTTTCCAAATAGTATATATATTCATGCAAACCCAAGTGGTTGGATGAATGAGAAAGAAATGATTTGGTGAATGAAAAATGTGTAGTGCTAAAGTACTAATTTAGGTTCAAATCCACATTTACTTCTCGTCCTTGATTCATTTACTACTCATAGGACAGATCCTGTAAAACATCATTTTAAAGAGAAAAAATACAAATATGGCTATTATTCCGAGTAAGCTAACCTCTTGTTTACAACTATTAGATGTATTCTTAAATAAATTATTTAAAGCTAAGGTTAGTATAAAAAATATATATATAAAACAAATTAATAAATATTTGATATACTTATTTAATATCTTATTAATAGGTTCATCATGCTTACAATCAGTGATGTCTATTTCCTATGTCCCAAGCATTTGCTGTCCCAGCTATATGTCCCAACTATATGTCCCAACTATGTCCCATATAAGTCCCAAATGTCCCATCTGTCCCATCAATGTCCCATCAGTATCCCATCAGTGTCCTAACTATGTCCCATGACAACACTGCTTACAATCATTGGATAGATGAGACTATAAAAGAATATACACTATCTGATAAAATCAAATGACCTTCATACTCATTAATAGCAAATTGTATTAAATAAGCATAGGATGAGATTGATCCTATAATGATACAACGGTCTTTTAAATGTTGTGGAGTTTCGACGGAATTAGATGGTTCTAAAGATCATTTAATTTTCAATTTTGAAAAAGTTTCAGGTAAAAAAAATGCAGGAATTGGTATAGAAGAAGAAAGGAAAAATGAGGAAATTTCAGATGATGATAGTGATTTAGAATGTGAATATTATGAAAATAAAGAGGGAAATTATGTTAATATTTGGGATTAATTACCTAATTAATATATAATAATAAACAACAAACCTTGAAAGCGCAAAATCTTTCGTTATGTTAGAAACAGTCAAGATATTTTTAATACAATTTATTAAACCCTGGTAGTGAAGAAAATATTCTTTATCATTAAGAGATGTTATACTAATTTTTAAAAACTCCAAATTTGAAAATTTCAAATCTTTACTAAATTAGTTTATCTTCAATATGTTGTTACAATATTCTGGGTATGTTTTACAGATTACAAAGTTTTTATATTTTGCAATAAAATAATACGAAAGTATAAAATTTGGCTGTATTTTCAAAGTCGTTCATTTTTAATAATAATAATAATATATAAAATAAATTACAGCGATTACTAAATATATATATATATATATATATATATAAATCAGAAAATCAAATTATATTCGTTAATTTTAAATACTTGGGTATTAATCAATTTTCGTGAGATTAATTTTGAAAAAGATCCGGATACTAATCATGTTTAGATTATCGCAGATAGTGATTAGTACTCAGGTCTTAATCACAGAGGTATTATTTTTAGGGAGTACTGTAAGCAGTACTAAATGGTACAATAATTAGTACAGTTAGTATAGTTAGTATACTAGGGAACGGGATTCTGAAATATGGTATATAAATTATAATATTATATTTCACATGATTAATTATTTTATAACATAAAAGATATAACATGTGATAACATAAACAAAATGTTATTGGTCTATCAGACTTGCTAAAATTGGACAGATAGAATGACCTTGCATTTGAATAACCTAGAAATAAGATGTCTTTCGCTATGTTTTAAATAATAATCATCTTCTTTCTCTTTTCATACTATTACGCTAATCGCAAAAGTCCTAAAGAATATATATTAATTACTTATACTATTAAGTTATATTTATCAAAATATTATTATTTATTTATTTACTTACCTTATAATTCCTTACCAGATTTCTCCACTTTTGCTCACATTGATAAGCAAAATAATTATTATTATAGTATTAATTTATTTTCATGATGTTCTGCTAAAATTTTAATTTATTGCTATGAAAAAATAATGATACTTATAATTGTGTAACCTCTTCTTTTCAACTAAGTAGTCAGTTTCTACATCCCCTAAATAATTCTCGGTATAGCCATTTTTTTGTATTGATTTGTAAAAATTAAAAAATTTGATGATTGGAATTAATAAAATAATTAAGAATATATTAGAATATTTAAAAATGAAAAATTAAATGATAGTAAAATACTTACCTTTAAAAATAAATTTCTTTATTATTGAAATGAAATTCTGATTTGATATCTCATGAAAAATCTCTTTATTAAATTAAAATTTGATTTAATATTTTATAAAAACTTTAATAATATAATAAACTTACAATCAAATACTCAAACCCTTTGTGTTTGAAATTCTGATTTGGATTTCAAAAATAATTTAATCATCATATTATTTATAAAATTAGTTCAACACAAATATAACTTAAGTGAAATTTTTAATATAGTAAATCATATAATTAGAGGCAATAATAATTCATCTCTAGGTAATAAATATAAATTATTATAAAATATAACATCACAATTTGATAAAAACATTAGGAAATTTTAATACAAGTTTAACAAAAATTCATTGCAAATTGGTTAAAAAATTATAAAAAATAATATGAATGTAAAAAAACAAATTATTATTAATGTTATTTATGTTAAAAAAATAGTCTAAATTATTATTAACATTGTTACATTAAAAAAACTACTATCATTATTCAAGTTAGTAACAAAATTATTAAAATTAGTTTATTTTATTAAAATAAACTATTATTTTAAAGCTTCTTTTTTAAGCTTTTTAATAAACTTTAATTCTTCTTTATTTATATTAAAAACTTTTTTCTATTATTACAAATATAAATTACTTTATTATAAGATTTAATAGTTTCATTATGAGTAATTATCAGTAAAGGATCCTCTTCTTCTTTATTTTCTTATTCATTAGATTCCAGTAAAGCTGCTTTTATATTTTTTTATTAGATATTATTTCTTTTATAGTCACAGACTTATCATATTAAACAAATTCTTCAGCAGTTAAATAGTTGTTTAAAAAAAGTTTATCAATTAAAACTTGAACTTCTTCTAACTCCCTTAGTCATGTAAGTTCAAGTTATATATTATAAAGTTTTTATTATTATTATTATCATCATCATCTTTAGGCAGAATATTTGTTTTTAACTAACAATTTTGAATTATCTCTTACATTATATTATTCCATATTTGTAAAACATATTTATGCATTTTTTAATATTAATTTTTATAGGTTTGATATAATAATCATTGAAATTATTAAAAGATTTGACTTAGTTTTTTAGATAAAGCTTTTGATATTATGCCTAAAACAAATTAAATTTGTATAAAAATAT